GGCGTCCAGAAAACTCCGATGCGGCGTTCTGGATCCATCGAGAGGCACGCGGGGATTTAAATAGAGGCCACCGTCGGGAACCAGGCATGCATAATTCAGACAAGAGTGGAGTGCATTTAAGTTGTGAAGTTGTACGTAATCGCAGTTAGTTGAGTTTTTACCTACGCCCGATTAATTATTCGCCCATCAAACGTAACACTATTATAACACTGCTTAGTCAATATTTTGCACTGTGACCTTAAATTGGAAAATGTGTTATAATCTTCAAACTGACCATCCTGTTTGAATTTTTTATGAGCCTGTTTTTTTGCTATAATTATGTTTTTTAATTCAGGCGAAAACCATTTAGGAAAAGTAGAACTTCTATATCTTTTTACTGGTATGAATTCAATAATAATGGTATATAGATATTGGTAAAATAAATGTATGCAGTGGTCGACGCCTTTTTGATCAAATAACTTTTCCCAATTTATTTCTACTAAAGAGATATTAATTGCAGAATAATTTGCTACACGAAAATCATAAAAGAATGAATCATCATTTAGATAAATTGATATTATTAAAGATATTATTAAGATTAATTTGGTATCCATTATGATGAATTGAATTATTAAGAAGATTATCCACTGAGTAAGATACTGAAGTATTAACGATTTTTGAAAAAACCAGATCTAGGAAAACGCCCATACTGTTCGAGAAGTTATTAGCTTGATACATGTTCATAAAAGAGAAGCGTTCAGCTATCGGGATCGCTTATAATTAGGATGACATGCTACCGTTAAAGAATCATCAACAAAATCCCATGTAGCTTCCGCGAGATTGAAGTCACCACATATGATGAACTTGGAATTTAAGTTTTTCTGATACACATTACTTAAGGTTAAAGAAAAATATTTGTAAACAAGAACATCAGAATCTGGAGGAATGTATGTAGCACCAATAATGAAATTATTTCCAAAACCATCGACCACTTTAACCAAAATCAATTCATAAAGATTGGAGTGAAATAATAATAAGGAACAATTAAAATTATTTCTGACACCCACCAGGACACCATCACCTCTTTTTTTACCAGTTATTTCAACATTTCTATCGGCTCTAAAAAATATACTCATTTGTACAAATTTCCGAATCTGATAATTACATCTGTAGATAACCATGTTTCTATTAATATAAATATGTCATATATGGAAGTAATTAAATTAGTATTGAATTCTTTTAACTTAGTTTTCATCCCACCAACATTGTGAAAATAAAGAGTAATCGGGTAATTATTTAGTTTTTTTTGTTAGATTTTGAAATAATCTTATGTTCTCCACGAATGTACCTTATGGCTAAATTTTGTTCCCCATTACTTAATCTAGTTTGCCATTCTTGGCTAACCATTTTATATTTTTCTCTTTGCAGGATGGTTTGGTCATAGTTTAATTTAATATTATTTGGCGCCTTTCTTCTATTTTTTAAAACTTCCATTGCTCCATTAGCATCTTTAAATATTAGTTTTAATGGTCTGGGTTTGGAGTTCTGCTTGGCTGTACCCAATCTTATTGATTTAAATTCATATAATGGCAAATTCATGCTTTATAATATATTTGAAACAGACTCCTTATCTTTATTTATCCTGGTGTTTAAATCATGACTTTGAAATTCAGAAAGATTATACACTATAACATTTTTAGAACGGTGTAACCGATCATTTATCTCAGCAAAGATCTCCTCCTCGCTCGTTATTTTATTGCTAGTGTTTGCTTTAATATTAGATTTTAATTCATTAATTTGGGTTTGTAAGTTGTTAACCAGTTCTACCAATTGAGGAATAAGGGTTATAGCGCCGTCACATTTTTTACAATAGAATCGCATTCTTCGATTTTTCAGTTCAAATGCCCTTATTTCAGTTTCTGTTAATTCAGCGCACTCTTTACAGAGGGACTGTTTACATGCTTCACAGTTGAAGGTTTTACCAGTTTTTTTACAATGATAACAAGACGACATTGTAGAAAGATTATAGATATAAGTGTGTGATGGAGAACTTTGTTATATATTGATTATTAGGAATTTACCGTTTTTAATATTTTGTTAACTAGGAGTCTATACTATAGAGTACTATTTTTATAACTGTGCCTTACGGCAGAAAGACCTCTTAATGACAATCTGTGAAAATACCAAACATCAATTCTTAATGTTTACCACTTAAAACCAGATCCAACGCACTGCGAAGTTAATGAACATCCGAGCACACCGCACTCAAAAAAATCTGTGGACGGCGATGTGCTAAATAAGTTCGTAACAAAAAATTGCTCCGGGAACTTCAATGTTCACCTACAATCCTGGTTTGGAACCTGTCAACCCGGTATGTGTTTCTATTCAGCTGGTCGAAATTTATTTGCCAAACTTTTTTATAAACTTTTAGGCAACTTTGCGAAAAGCTCAATTTTTCAATACCCTTGCGTATAAAATCGTGAACTTTTCCCCAGAGCTGTCGAAAATCATCAAAAGATTGCCTTCGATTGATTTTGATTCCTGGAAGAAAATCGCCAAAATGAAATTTGACAAATTCTGACACACTTATTTTAAAAATTTAACTCTGAACTCAAATATTTCGAAACCCAATCGCCTTGCCGACTTTGCATAATTTTTACTTCTTTACAGCTTAATTTTTCGAAAATTCCTATCATTTTTTCGAAATCGCTAAACTGAAAATTTTGGTACAGGTATAATTCTTACACAAATACGATTTTTTCCGTAACTGTCGGTCAACCAAGTTTTTTTTGTTCTTTGCCTGTATCTTCCCATTGAAACAATTTTTTTCTCATAACTAATTCGCTTGACGGGTATTTTGTATTCACATAATTCCAATTTACCTTACACAGTCTTTCATCATTGAAGGAACAAATAAAACATAATTTACATATTTGTGCTCGTTTTTGATGTATTACAACTAATTCTGAAATATCGTAGGATGCTCAGAAAATTTTGTCAAAAAAACTGAGATTTAAAATATCAGTAAATATTAACGTTGTGATAACCCAACCATCCCATCAAAGTTAGACATGTGAACAGAATTTTAAAAACCCGCAAAAAATTCAAGATGTAGCCTTAAATTATGGTTGTCACCAAAATGGGCCTTAGGTTGTATATTTTTTTTTTGTTTGGCGGAACACGTTTACTTAAATGCAAAATAGTGAACCCCAATGTTGGACAAAATAATTTATTCTTCCATTTTGCAGAGGTAAAAACAGCTGTAAAATAAGCCCAATTGTATAGTTAAGTAGGAGAACTTACTTCCCAACCGAAAAACCTCTAACCTTCAACAATGAAATCAAATGTTACGAATTAATGCAAATATCTAAATATCACAAAATTAAATAGTCAAATAAAAAAAATTACATAAAGTACCTGGATGGTAAGACAGTTATTACGATGGTGTGGCGGCAAGTTTAAGTTATGGCAGTAAAGAAATCAGAAAGCGAGCTACAGAGGACGTTTTAATTAGAGCGGAATTTAAATTCCTTGTCGTAGTCTGTCACATTTCTTAAATGATTTTACTGTAGACAGGTATAACACACACCACATTTCTATGCCAAAAAAAAACCTGCCGCATATTATACTCTCTACCTGGTTTTCGCAAAATATTAGTACAAGCTGCACCTTTTACGCCATGAAGTTTTCAATTAAAAATCCATTTGGGCAAGTAAAAATACCCGTAAACCTTAACTAGAAACCGTGTGTTGCTAGAATTACAAGAAATTAAGCAAGCAACGTGTAATTATGCCACATTCTCTCAAGAACTCGAAACAATAAAGAATTCACATGAGGCTTATTTATGTCATACTCAATCATCAAGTTATGGATCAAATCGAAATAAAGTTCTTCAAGTTTACATCATGAACCAGCTCAAAAAGTCGACACATCACATTAACAAAGCACATATGAAATAAACAACAGATAAATATTAAATGCAGCGAAAAATCAAAAATAAGGCGAGTTTGGTGCGCATCTCACTTTACGAGAATCTCTCAGCAATAAAATCTCCAAATTCAGCTTTTCCAACACAAATAATAACATTAAAAAGTAATCACAAATTAAATTCCACATTTCCCCCAGTTCAGGATTTTAGTTTAATAAGATTTGTTTAAATGTCATAAATGAACTATTATATTATATTCTCAGTCTTGAACGAGAAGGATAAACTAAGCGTAAAATATCCAGAATTTTTAGATATTTTTATAAGAAAAGTCATAAGCCTAATGAAGTGAATTTCCTGTCACGTGGTTTAGATGAACATTTTATATGTGAATAGTTAAAAATTAAAAATTTTAACGTGAACCATGAATTTATAAACAATAAAACCAAACGTACAGTGGTGATGAAATTTGTCAAAGTTTCACACATTTCAGATTATAAAGTAATTAACAATTAATTATGCTCATTGAAGGGAGACCGTGGCGTCAAATGCTATTCATTTTCGTTCAATAGCCCTATTTTGAAATTACAAACTAAATTTAACCCACCAATTTTTAACACGTGTTTGCACAAGCACTGTTACACAAGAAGTAATGCTGACGCCTTCCAAAATAGTTAGTGACTTTCCAGAAATCTACCTGCCCCTTTTTTGCATTTCAAACTCAAAATGAGGGTGACATTCCTCTAAACATGAATGGTTGACTATGTTATTGACCTTACTTTAAATATGAATTTCAAATTTAGGATAGACAGCGTAGATTTTTAAAATGATTTTAGTTTAATTTTCATCTCAGTACTTGTTTTGGCACGTCTCTTAGAATCAGCTGTTCCGTACACAGGACCTCGTCTTCGGTTATTCATAAAACTTGAACTTTTTTGAACTTTGAACGCAAATAATTGCGTTTTAAATCTTCTAAATCTCAAGTGACGTACATCACTTATTAATTTTTATCTTTTGTATACAAAATGAATTTGCAGTGATTATATTAATCTTAAAAACTTCTAGAATTAAAAATAACTAATCATAATAATTGTAGGTGCTCCATCATTTCACTTTAACAAGCATTGATATTATCGCAGACAATTTCCTTCGTAATAAGATTTATATATACAAAATCGGATGATGCAGTTATTTCCAATGACATGTACTTATTTTCTCTCTTCAGCAATATAGAAGCGCAAGGTTTAATAGAGATAGTTTAGTTTATAATGGTAGTATTATAACTAAACTTTTATCGAACTATAGATAGGAGCTTATTCTAAGTATACAAGTAAGTTAAAAACATTTGAAATATTTAGACAGTTATCTTGATTAATCTAGCTGAGCACATGCATTTGTCTGGCTTAACGTGAGTATTTCCTTCGACTGATTATACCTAATCTTCTGTTCTTTAGATTTTCTAAAAATAGACACTAAGTGAACAAGAAGTAATAAAATGTAAAATGGAAATTAGTAACCAACACTAATCAAATTATTAAATTACCTTTCCCAAGAAATCTCAGCAAAATAATGCAATGGACTCACACTCACTGGATTTTTGAAGTACCAGATTTCTATTTTGTGATATGTACCGCAATCACTGCTATTAATCATTGTTTATAGAAAAATTATCAACGACATTACTCGATATCCAATATAAAAGAACACAGGTTTCAGATTAGGTTCAGTTCCGCGTGTCTGTTCCCATTAACCGACACGATGTGGTTAAAGTTTTTGATTTTTGGACTTCTTAGTTGCTACGTTTTAGCAGACAGTAGTGGTGAGTATTATTTTTCATGACTCGTATAACACTTGCTAAAATAACGACTTTCAGATATACCATGCCCTCCTGTAGACGGTCCTGATGCAGTATATTTCCCACACGAATCAGACTGCAGCAAATTCTACGAATGTTCTAATGGTGTAGCTTACCTCTTCGATTGTCCAGCTGGACTAGATTTCAACCCGGTTAAAAACGTTTGCGATTATCCAGAGCAAGCAGGCTGCAGAAATCGAACCACTGTTTCTCCATCTTCTTCCACTTCCTCAACTGCTTCTCCAACTTCTTCATCCACAGAAAGCTCATCCGCTTCCACGGAATGCTCAACCAATTCTCCAACGCCTCCTGCCACGACAAGCTCAAGTGCTCAGACTACAGAAAGCAGCAGCGAGAATCCTCCTGTGACAACGTCAGTGTCGACTTCGTCTTCGTCTAAGCCTACTTCTGCTTCTACAAGTGCAAAGCCCTCAAAGTCAACACCATCTAAACCAACTTCACCTACTAAACCTACTCATCCTACTAAACCATCTAGACCCACTAGACCATCTAAACCCACTAGACCATCTAAACCCACTAGACCATCTAAACCCACTAGACCATCTAAACCCACTAGACCATCTAAACCCACTAGACCATCTAAACCCACTAGACCATCTAAACCCACGAAACCATCTAAACCCACTAGACCGTCTAGACCCACTAGGCCATCTAAACCCACTCAACCATCTAGACCTACTAGACCATCTAAACCCACTAGACCATCTAAGCCTACTCAACCATCCAAACCAACTACGCCTAACGATGATGATTCCAATGAATCTGACGATTCTAATGAATCAAATGATAGCAACGATTCGAATTCTTCTAACGAATCTAACGACTCTGACGACTCCGATGATTCGAAGGGCGAAGATGACTCTGATGAATCTAGTGACTCCGATGACTCTAATAACTCCGATGACGATAGCTCTAGCGATTCTGATGACGATTCCAACGATGATTCCGATTCTTCTAGAGATTCTAGAGAATTTGCCGCACAAGGGGCTGATGCTGAGGACTTGTTCAAGCTACTTTCTGGCGGTCTAGATATAGATCCTATACAAGGCACAACTTGCGATCCAGAGCAAAATATTGGAGCAATGACGAACCATCCTCAGTCTTGCACAAAATATCTTAAATGCTATAACGGTGTCACTCTTGTAAAAAGTTGTACAGACCAGTATTACTTCGATGATGATATTGGCATCTGTGTGGTACCGGGTTACACCACATGTGTAAGTCAGTCGTAAGTGTGTTTGCATTAAAGCTGTCATCGAATGCAGACTTGTAAAAAAATAAAATAAAAATGTGAATTAAATGAAGTTTTGTGTAATTATTTATTAAACATCAGTATTTAATTCTGCAGAATGACTGATCTGTGATTTTTATTACTTCCCGAGCGTAAGCAAAGGAAGTATTGTAATCGAGTCCGTCGGCCGACTCTCTACTTTTACGTTTTCTCGATCTTTCATGACACCTAGAAGACGAAGAAATAGGTTTCCCATTTCCGTCTGTCTGTCCGTCTGTCCGTCCGTCGGCCCGTCTGTCCGTCTGTCTGCCGTCCCGGATTTTTATTAGAGAGATAATCTCCGAAAGTACTCGACCGATTGTTGTGAAATTTTGTACTTATATATTAACTGCCCATTCACAATGGACATAAGGCATAACAAGTACATAAAGCTTACATAAATACATAAAGTTGAAACGATGGAAAACGTGTACCCCTGTTCACAATGGACGGACGTAATTCTTATGCTTATGAACGTTTTATGTAATCCTTGTGTGCGTACACAAAGTTGAAATAAGTTCAACTTTGTGCACGAATTATGTCAAAATTATGTTAAAATCTAGGGACTTTTGAATGCTGCTATTGAATTCCCTTTGACAGTTGGCACTTGGCACTTCACAGCTTTGATTATATTATATATATTCTAATCAAAGTCACACACTGCGAGTCTGTTCTGTACTGCGAGTTGTCAAGTTCGAATATCGTACGAAATTGTAGGTTAGATATTTTGATTGACTCAGTTTGAGGTTAGCCGTTTCTGTGTTTATCCGAGAGTTATTCCGTTCTGCGTTTGCGCAGTTTACAAATTCTTACAGAGTTCACTCTGTCCACTGTGAACGTAGATAAGCATAAGCCAGACACAAACCAAAAACGTAAATTATGTTATGCGCTTGTTCTTATGTCTTATGTCCATTGTGAATGGGCAGTAAGAATATCATGTAGATGGTAAAACGCTAACCAAAATTTGTCTAATCATCCCCACCACTAATGCGATGACGTCACTTCAAAATTGTACATAGTAAATGGGTTTTCAATTGTATAAAATAACATTGTCCTACACATGTAGTTTACAACTCTGAATCGACTTTTCACCCGAAACGTCCAGATTTTTGGAAAAAAAATCAAAATTATAAAACAACATTTTGAAATTTAATTTTTAATCTGCTAACCAGAATGGTTTGAAATGTTGCAGATGTTTTAAGGCTATAAAGAGCATCATAAATCTTTAGTCAAAAAATATTTGCTTATCCCCTCCAAAAACTTGATGACGTCAGCTCAAAAGTTTGTGGAATAAATCATATCTAAAATGTACAAAATATGATGAGTCTGTACTTGTGATCTATCACTCCATTCATATTTTTTGGATTTGCATATACAGGGTGACTCAAAAAAATTAATGAATGCGTAAATTTATTTTACTGATTTACTCAGAAACTACAAAACCGAATGCTTTGAAATCTTGCAGATGTTTTAAGGTTATAAAGAGCATAATAAATGTTTAGTCAAAATATATTTGCTTATCCTCTCCAAAAAATTGATGACGTTAGCTCGAAAGTTTGCCGAATAAATCCTATCTAAACTGTAAAAATATGATGAGTCTGTACTTGTAATTTATCACTCCATTCATATTTTTTGGATTTGCATATACAGAGTGACTCAAAAAAATTAATGAATGCGTAAATATATTTTATTGATTTAATCAGGAACTACAAAACCGAATGCTCTGAAATCTTGCAGATGTTTTAAGGTCATAAAGAGCATAATAAATGTTTAGTCAAAATATATTTGCTTATCCCCTCCAAAAACTTGATGACGTCAGCTCGAAAGTTTGCCGAATAAATCATATCTAAAATGTACAAAATATGATGAGTCTGTACTTGTCATTTATCACTCCATTCATATTTTTTGGATTTGCATATACAGAGTGACTCAAAAAAATTAATGAATGCGTAAATATATTTTATTGATTTAATCAGGAACTACAAAACGGAATGCTCTGAAATCTTGCAGATGTTTTAAGGTCATAAAGAGCATAATAAATGTTTAGTCAAAATATATTTGCTTATCCCCTCCAAAAACTTGATGACGTCAGCTCGAAAATTTGCCGAATAAATCATATCTAAAATGTACAAAATATGATCAGTCTATACTTGTGATCTATCACTCCATTCATATTTTTTGGATTTGCATATACAGGGTGATTCAAGAAAATAAATGAAAGCGTAAATTTATTTTACTGATTTACTCAGGAACTACAAAACCGAATGCTTCGAAATCTTGAAGATATTTTAAAATTATCATAAGCATGCTAAATTTTTGATCAAAATGTATTTGGTCGTCCCCCCTAAAAAATTTATGACGTCACCACAAAATTTTGCTGAATAAATCCTATCTAAAATGTACAAAATATGGTGAGTCTCTTCTTGTGATTTATCATTCCATTCAAATTTTTTCGATTTGCATATACAGGGTGACTCAAAAAAATTAATGAATGCGTAAATTTATTTTATTGATTTAATCAGGAACTACAAAACCGAATGCTTTGAAATCTTGCAGATGTTTTAAGGTTATAAAGAGCATAATAAATTTTTAGTCAAAATATATTTGGTTAGCTTCTACAAAAAACTGATGACGTCAGCTCAAAAGTTTGCCGAATAAATCGTATCTAAAATGTACAAAATATGATGAGTCTGTACTTGTGATTTATCATTCCATTCATATTTTTGGATTTGCATATGCAGGGTGACTCAAAAAAATTAATGAAGGCGTGAATTTATTTTATCGATTTAATCAGGAATTACAAAACCGAATGCTTTGAAATCTTGGGAATATTTTAAAGTTATTATAAGCATGGTAAACTTTTGTTCAAAATGTATTTGTTCATCCCTCCTAAAAAAATTGATGACGTCACCCTTAAATTTTGCTGAATAAATCCTATCTAAAATGCAAAAAATATGATGAGTTTGTACTTGTGATTTATCATTCCATTCATATTTTTTAGATTTTCTTAAGAGGTGGTTCAAAAAAATTAATGAAGTCAATTTATTTTATTGATTAAATTAAAGGCAACACTTATTATTAGTATTACACCCCAACCAACCCAATTTGGTAGACACAAAATTTGTTAAAGGAAAAACTCGGTTGAAACATAAGGGTAGCACGCTTATTTACATCGACTTTAACATTACAGACCTGCATTTGTTTTATGCGCTCACTTGGTTCCGCGAATGTGAAATAGACATGTTTATAATCAACCAATTGTGAATTTCACCGTCAAGAATTAAAATAAAACCCAATGTTTTATATAATAAGCGGAAGTCGAAGCAATAAAACCGATGGTCGTTTTGTTTACAGTTTCTCTGTTTGACTCTCACGTATGCTGTTACGCTTGTCATCTTAAATTAAGAATGTTTATACATAAACGATTTTCAGTTGCCTTTCATATTACTAGACAGCGGATTTTTGTCGGGCTACGTCACGATTATAGGTGGGGACGCGCTGGATCGCCGGGACTCAGTAGCGGGTGATAGACAATCACTGAATTTAATCAGTACTAATTCCATAAATATAATTAACGATTTATTAATCAAACGGCTAAGTAAATGAGAACGGGAATTAACAGCAGAGTGCAACGAAACAGCGTTATTCTAATCTCAAATAAACGAAGTGCAGTCCGCAACCGCAATGAATTCGCATCCCGTACGAGCCGTACCGAGTTTGGCCTTGCCTAGCCCGACAGAAATCCGCTCTCTAGATATTACACACCGGCGCCGTATACGTGAGTAAATTGTTTCGTTATTTTATTGATTATAAGAAATCAATATTCAAAACGACCCAATTCATTTTCCCGAAAATTTGGGAATACAATAATTTTATTCTTAGTATTACACTACATCTATCCCAACTGATATGCGTGTCCTTGCAAAAATGTTGATGACGTCATCAAAATTTTTTTTTAAATTCCCACTACAAAAATGTAATGAGAAAAAAAAACACAATAGGCATGCAGTCGTCAAGTTTCCGACAGCGAGGGAAGTACTGTCTAAACTCTTTAGACCAATTTTTATAACTGTGCCTTACGGCAGAAAGGCCTCTTAATGACAATCTGTGAAAATACCAAACATCAATTCTTAATGTTTACCACTTAAAACCAGATCCAACGCACTGCAAAGCTAATGAACACCCGAGCACACCGCACTCAAAAAAATCTGTGGACGGAGATGTGCTAAATAAGTTTAGTTCGTAACAAAAAATTGCTCCGGGAACTTCAGTGTTCACCTACAATCCTAGTTTGGAACCTGTCAACCTGGTATGTGTTTCTATTCAGCTGGTCGAAATTTATTTGTCAAACTTTTTTATAAACTTTTAGGCAACTTTGCGAAAAGCTCAATTTTTCAATACCCTTGCGTATAAAATCGTGAACTTTTCCCCAGAGCTGTCGAAAATCATTAAAAGATTGCCTTCGATTGATTTTGATTCCTGGAAGAAAATCGCCAAAATGAAACTTGACAAATTCTGACACACTTATTTTAAAAATTTAACTCTGAACTCAAATATTTCGAAACCCAATCGCCTTGCCGACTTTGCATAATTTTTACTTCTTTACAGCTTAATTTTTCGAAAATTCCTATCATTTTTTCGAAATCGCAAAACTGAAAATTTTGGTCCAGGTATAATTCCTACACAAATACGATTTTTTCCGTAACTGTCGGTCACCCAAGTTTTTTTTTGTTCTTTGCCTGTTTCTTCGCATTGAAACAATTTTTTTCGCATAACTAATTCACTTGACGGGTATTTTGTATTCACATAATTCCAATTTACCTTGCACAGTCTTTCATCATTGAAGGAACAAATAAAAATAATTTACATATTTGTGCTCGTTTTTGATGTAGTACAACTAATTCTGAAATATCATAGGATACTCAGAAAATTTTGTCAAAAAGACTGAAATTTAAAAGATCAGTAAATATTAACGTTGTGATAAGTCAACCATTCCATCAAAATTAGACATGTGAACAGAATTTTAAAACCCGCAAAAAATTCAAGATGTAGTCTTGAATTATGGTTGTCACCAAAATGGGCCTTAGGCTGTATATTTTTTTTTGTTTGGAGGAACACGTGTACTTAAATGCAAAATAGTGAACCCCAATGTTGGACACAATTGTTTATTCTTCCATTTTGCAGAGGTAAAAACAGCTGTAAAATAAGCCCAATTGTATAGTTACGCAGGAGAACTTACTTCCCAACCGAAAAACCTTCTCTAACCTTCAACAATGAAATCAAATGTTACGAATTAATGCAAATATCTAAATATCACAAATTTAAATAGTCAAATAAAAAAAATTACATAAAGTACCTGGATGGTAAGACAGTTATTACGATGGTGTGGCGGCACGTTTTAACGAGAGCGGAATTTAAATTCCTTGTCGTAGTTTGTCACATTTCTTAAATGATTTTAGTGTAGACAGGTATAACACACATCACATTTCTATGCCAAAAAAAAACCTGCCGCACATTATACTCTCTACCTGGTTTTCGCAAAATATTAGTACAAGCTGCATCTTTTACGCCATGAAGTTTTCAATTAAAAATCCATTTGGGCAAGTAAAAATACCCGTAAACCTTAACTAGAAACCGTTTGTTGCTAGAATTACAAGAAATTAAGCAAGCAACATGTAATTATGCCACACACTCTCAAGAACTCGAAACAATAAAGAATTCACATGAGGCTAAATTATGTCATACTCAATCATCAAGTTATGGATCAAATCAAAATAAAGTTCTTCAAGTTTACATCATGAACCAGCTCAAAAAGTCGACACATCATATTAACAAAGCACATATTAAATGCAGCGAAAAATCAAAAATAAGGCGAGTTTGGTGCGCATCTCACTTTACGAGAATCTCTCAATAATAAAATCTCCAAATTCAGCTTTTCCAACACAAATAATAACATTAAAAAGTAATCACAAATTAAATTCCACATTTCCCTCAGTTCACGATTTTAGTTTAAGATTTGTTTAAATAACGAGAAGGATAAACTAAGCTTAAAATATCCAGAATTTTTAGATGTCCTTATAAAAAAAGTCACGTGGTTTAGATGTGAATAGTTAAAAATGAAAAATTTTAACATGAACTGTGAATTTATAAACAATAAAACCAAACGTACAGTGGTGATGAAATTTGTCAAAGTTTCACACATTTCAGATTATAGAGTCATTAACAATTAATTATGCTCACTGAAGGGAGACCGTGGCGTCGAATGCGATTCATTTTCGTTCAATTGCCCTATTTTCAAATTACAAACTAAATTTAACCCACCAATTTTTAACACGTGTTTGCACAAGCACTGTTACACAAGAAGTAATGCTGACGCCTTCCAAAAAAGTTAGTGACTTTCCAGAAATCTACCTCGTCTTCGGTTATTCATAAAACTTGAACTTTTTTGAACTTTGACCACAAATAATTGCGATTTAAATCTCCTAAATCTCAAGTGACGCACGTCACTTATTAATTTTTATCTTTTGTATACAAAATGAACTTGCAGTGATTATATTAATCTTAAATAACTTCTAGAATTAAAAATAGCTAATCATAATAATTGTAGGTGCTCCATCATTTCACTTTAACAAGCATTGATATTATCGCAGACAATTTCCTTGGTAATAAGATTTATATACAAAATCGGATGATGCAGTTATTTCCAATGACTGTACTTATTTTTTCTGTTTAACAATATAGAAGCGTCAGGTTTAATGGAGATCGTTTATAATGGTAGTATTATAACTAAACTTTTATCGAACTATAGATACGAGCTTATTCTAGGTATACAAGTAAGTTACAAAAATTTGAAATATTTATATAGTTATCTTGATTAATCTAGCTGAGCACATGCTTTTGTCTGGCTTAACGTAAGTATTTCCTTCGATTGATTATACCTATATCTAATTTTCTGTTCTTTAGATTTTCTAAAAATAAACACTAAGATGTTAACAAGAAGTAACAATTTAGAATGGAAATTAGCAAACAACACTAATAAAATTATTAAATTATCTTTCCCAAGAAATCTCTGCAAGATAAGGCAATGGACTGACACTCACTGGACTTTTGACGTACCAGATTTCTATTTTGTGATGTATACCGCAATCACTGCTCTTAATCATTGTTTATAGAAAAATTATCGACGATATTACTCGATATCCAATATAAAAGAACACAGGTTCCAGATTAGGTTCAGTTTCACGTGTTTGTTCCAATTAACCGACACGATGTGGTTAAGGTTTTTGATATTTGGACTTCTTAGTTGCTACGTTTTAGCAGACAGTAGTGGTGAGTATTATTTTTCATGACTCGTGTAACACTTGCTAAAATAACGCCTTTCAGATATTCCGTGTCCTCCTGTAGACGGTCCTGACGCAGTATATTTCCCACACGAATCAGACTGCAGCAAATTCTACGAATGTTCTAATGGTGTAGCTTACCTCTTCGATTGTCCAGCTGGACTAGATTTCAACCCGGTTAAAAACGTTTGCGATTATCCAGAGCAAGCAGGCTGCAGAAATCGAACCACTGTTTCTCCATCTTCTTCCACTTCCTCAACTGCTTCTCCAATTTCTTCATCCACGGAAAGCTCATCCGCTTCCACTTCTGTCCCGTCAAGTTCAAGTGCACAGACTACAGAAAGCAGCAGCGAGAATCCTCCTGTGACAACGTCAGTGTCGACTTCGTCTTCGTCTAAGCCTACTTCTGCTTCTACTAGTGCAAAGCCCTCAACGTCAACACCATCTAAATCCACTTCACCTACTAAACCAACTCAACCTACCAAACCAACTCAATCTACTAAACCATCTAAACCTACTCAACCATCCAAACCAACTACGCCTAACGATGATGATTCCAATGAATCTGACGATTCTAATGAATCAAATGATAGCAACGATTCGGATTCTTCTAACGAATCTAACGACTCTGACGACTCCGATGATTCGAAGGACGATGATGACTCCGATGAATCTAGTGATTCTGATGACTCCGATGACTCTAGTGACTCCGATAGTTCTAGCGATTCTGATGATGATTCAGACAGCGATTCTGATGACGATTCCGACGATGATTCCGATTCTTCTAGAGATTCTAGAGAATTTGCCGCACAAGGGGCTGATGCTGAGAACTTGTTCAAGCTACTTTCTGGCGGTCTAGACATAGATCCTATACAAGGCACAACTTGCGATCCAGAGCAAAATATTGGAGCAATGACGAACCATCCTCAGTCTTGCACAAAATATCTTAAATGCTATAACGGTGTCACTCTTGTAAAAAGTTGTACAGACCAGTATTACTTCGATGATGATATTGGCATCTGTGTGGTACCGGGTTACACCACATGTGTAAGTCAGTCGTAAGTGTGTTTGCATTAAAGCTGTCATCGAATGCAGACTTGTAAAAATATAAAATAAAAATGTGAATTAAATGAAGTTTCGTGTAATTATTTATTAAACATCAGTATTTAATTCTGCAGAATGACTGATCTGTGATTTTTATTACTTCCCGAGCGTAAGCAAAGGAAGTATTGTAATCGAGTCCGTCGGCCGACTCTCTACTTTTACGTTTTCTCGATCTTTCATGACCCTTAGAAGACGAAGAAATAGGTCTCCCATTTCCGTCTGTCTGTCCGTCTGTCCGTCCGTCTGTCCGTCCGTCTGTCTGTCTGTCCGTCCGTCTGTCCGTCTGTCTGCCGTTCCGGATTTTTATTAGACAGATAATCTCCGAAAGTACTGGACCGATTGTTATTGATGATTATTAGGAATATCATGTAGATGGTAAAACGCTAACCAAAATTTGTCTAATCATCCCCACCACTAATGTGATGACGTCACTTCAAAATTGTACATAGTAAATGGGTTTTAAATTATATAAAATAATATAGTCCTAAACATGTAGTTTACGACTCCGAATTGAGTTTTTACCCGAAACGTCCAGATTTTTGGAAAAAAAATCAAAATTATAAAACAATATTTTGCGATTTAATTTTGAATCTGCTAATCCGAATGTTTTGAAATGTTGCAGATGTTTTAAGGTTATAAAGAGCATAAGAAATGTTTAGTCAAAATATTTTTGCTTATCCCCTCCAAAAAATTGATGACGTCAGTTCGAAAGTTTGCCGAATAAATTCTATGTAAACTGTACAAAATATGATGAGTCGGTCCTTGTAATTTATCACTTCATTCATATTTTTTGAATTTGCATATACCGGGTGACTCAAAAAAATAATGAAATCTACTGCGAAAAAAACATAATAGACATGCAGTCGTCACGTTTCCGACAGCGAGGGAAGTACTGTCTAAACTCTTTAGACCAATTTTTTAATATATATGGCTATATGTATATAGATATCCATAATTTTCTATGATAATAGGACGGTTATTAATACTCAACATAAATATTTATTTCTATAAACATAAAATGGTTACATCAAAAAATGGTAATGATCTTAAAAAAATAAATCATTCTTACTTAAATTTATTGCTTCTTTTTGCGTTTCAGTGTCAAGGTTGATTTTTGACTTTTGTAATCTTTAAGTGGTTTTTTCCTTAAAGATATTATTCCAACCATGCATTTTTCATTGTTTAACTGGTCAGTTGCGATGCGAGCGCAGTTTAATTGTCTATCAACTTTAGATTTGAATGACATGTTTATTATTTATTTTTGAGAGTCTGGAGTTCTTAATTTGTTAAAAACTACGTTCGTCTTCTACCTCTTTTAAAGAGCCTATTATGTTGAGATAGATAATTATCAAGCACTATGATCATTTCAAATGAGATAGGTCTATTGTTTTATATTTTCTATCATATTTTACGAGTAGATTAATCGTTTATATGTACTTAAGATGGTAATCGGTGCGCTGTAATTGCTTTTGTAAAATTTCCAACCACAACATCAAATGAATCTGACATACATCTGTTACAGTAAGTATATATTAATGTCAGTAGATGTAAATTCAGAGAGATATTATACCTAAATTTTTTGTTTTTGTGTAGTGACGGTAATCTGTAGCAATCTAAAATTTACCTGTTTAGATATGTGTCTATGTCGAAGGGTACTCTCTCATTAAATTATGAGAGCGCAGTATACATATACAGCAATTATCTTCTAAATTTTTTAGAGTGGTATGTTTCCGCTCTATGATTAACTATATGTCGTAATGATGATTCAATAGTGATTAAAAAACTTGTGATTGATTTAATAACTATATATATATACATCTAAGCGTTTCCTTTAATTCCGAATCTTTGTTTACACAAACTGATAAACATTTCCAAGATAGTATTGATTCATAGAATTCTTAGTATATGTGGCTGACAGACACTAGGCTTTGTTAAATAACATAAGCTTCACGATAGTTCGCATTCAGTTTATTTGTCGTATCTCCAAATCTGTGGAATTACTGAAGTTGCTTTTTACTTGCCAAGCGTAAGCTAAAGAAGTATTGTAATAGGGTCCATCGAACTGGGTATATTCATGTTTTCGCGACGTTTCATGAACCCTACAGTACGAAAAAATAGGTCTCCCGTGTCCGCCTGTCTCTCTGTTTGTCGTCTGTGTCGATTTGTAATAGACAATATGTCTGCCGTCACGGATTTTTACTAGACAGATAATCTCCGAAACTACTGGACCGATTGTTGTAAAATTTTATATGTATGTTAGAAATATCGTATCCAACAATAATATAATTTGATGAAGTCCCTTCAATTTTTTTTACTTGCACTTTAATAATCTACACATATCTTTATTTTAACTTGTAAGGATTGTAAGAAGAAAATAAATACATTTATTTTACTACCAGGCTACCAATTTATTCACTCCTCACTACTTCCTTTAATGAGTTACGCATGAGAAAACAGCATCTGGTTTAAGCAATAACCTTATCTCAATCTCATATATAAATATATATGATTTTCACCAGTTCTTCCATCCATCTTTTCTTTAATTCCACAAGCTCAAGGAATATATTTTCAGAAGTGAAAATATAAATACATATATTTTTTACGATATGTATAGTATATCTCAAAACATCACTTTCATATTTCTTTTATTTCCTACCTTGAATATTTTCCCTTCTCATTTTCGTCCTTTATTTTTTTAACCAGCTTTATCTACATATTTTTTATTCACCTCCAAAACCACCGGATCCATTGTTATCAAGTTTTAAATACATGTTAGGGATATCGTGTATAGACGCTCACTAAAAATTTCCTAACCATCCCCACCATTTTGCATAGTAAGTATATACCGTTTAGATTTTATAAAATAACACACTTCTGTACTTGGATTATGAATCCGCCTTGATTTTTACAACAATTACTTTACAAAAACAATTTAAAATTAAACAACAAAATTTAAAAAGTTAAAAAAAACTGGTTATCGTGAACAGGCTGAATCACAATTTATTCATTCATCCACTCAAAAATTGACATCCTAAGCTCATTTTTTAAGTAAATCTCGTTTGAAATTTATAATGTGCCATGCCTTTTATTTACAATTTTATTATGTAGCCACATTTTAAAAGTTTGAAAGTGAGTTACATTGTGTATGTGTATGCAAGTTCAATTTAGAGAATTTCACTGAAACATAGAATATAATATGGTCCTTTTCTTGCACTTTAAAACAATAATAAAAAATAAATAAAATTTTTAGAAACGAAGTTTATAATTTAATGTAGGAAGTTGGACTTGTTAAAATGATTGTGCTTCAGGAATGACAAAAATTCTACTTAAATAAATTAGGATCAATTTTCCATCGTTCTTTTTTAATTTATATGTATTTTCTTCTGAAGTTCTTAATTAAGGTTTCAGTCGTTTTCAATTTTTTAATAGCTTAAAAACTCCAGGATTTTTGAGAAATTTTTCGATTATTTCCACTTGCAAAAATTTCTGTAAAACCTTTCTTTGTAGTAACCCATCTTCGTCTGTTTCCAAACATCTAGTTTGTTTTGTTACAATTTATTTCACTATCATAAGAATATCATTTTGGAAGAATTTTCTTTTAAAAATAATCCTGTAAGAAACGGGTAGATATAAAACAAAAAAAAAACTACTTTCATTTAAATATATTTAGCAATTGAAAATTTATTTGAATAAAAATGTGACATAAATTATGTAATAGTTAAAGTTATGTCGAATATTTTTGTAATGATATCACGAATGAGCATTACGCTTGATAGTATTCATCATTCATCATAAGACAATTATTATTATTAATTAAATGAGAAACGACTACAACTATCTCTGTCACTACCAATTCGTGGTGTGTGAATGCGAAAGTCAACAGTACTAGATTTTAGGAGAACAGTGACACTCAAACTTCGGAAGAAAGTTTAGTACAAAATTGGAACAGCGTTAGTTTTTCTAATCGTTATTTCTATTTATTTAATAATAAGTAACTTTGGAACAGTTTTGATTTTTTCGAAATACTTAAATGCTTTTTTTCTTAAAATATTCACCTGAACCACGGGTGGTGTATTCGCTGATTTACCTACACGTGGTATATTCGCTGCAATCCTCTTTTGACAATAGTAACGAATGTAAAAGCTACATTTCCACTGAATCTTTTTAAAGAAATGACAAACGATTGGATTCATTATATATTTTTTATAGTAATATTTGTTGGAATATTAAAATTTATAGCAAATAAAGAAACACATAATTGTTGGGATAACATTAAAATGGTTATGAAAAAAACTGATATCAATTATATATTGGCAGAGAGTTCATCGTCCGGTTGGGTCATCTAGATTTTATTTACTATATGATATCTATTCTGATGACAGCTGTCGATCAACCCTACAGAAAAGTACTCGAAGATATAATTCATATCCATTGCAAAACACAAAAAAAAATATTTAAATTATGTTGGAGTGCGTTTGTTTAAATAAATGCGATTTTTATCACAACAAAGATTTTCAAAAATTCATTTACGATTGACAACTGCAAGGATATTGTCAAAAAGCAAGGCGCCAAAATTTCACTGTGTCTTCAAATTATGCAGACACAAAAAACTCAAACTCAGTTTCACGAAAAGAGTAGTTGCAGTCAAAATTCAAAATATTCTGTGGTTCAATCAGTTGGTAATATACATGAATTTGATGACTTATAAGGCGACAGGCGATAATGAGATTCTTCCGAAAGTCTGATGAAGGTTTTGCTTAAATTAATACCGCAACATATATTTAAAGATATATGAGTATAGAGAGTTGTTGTATACAGTGCGATACCAAATTTCAAATACGTAATAGACTTAGTGATTATTTATAATTCAAACGGCGATAAAATTTAAAATACTTGTCGACACTAGAATTTAAATGTTTGTGAATCTGACAAATTATTTATTTTTTAAATTAAAACTATGAAAAATGTGGAATGAGTAACAACATTAGCTAAAACATGGCAGTGAACTTAAATCAAATTTAAGTCGTAACTTCACTTGACATAAGTTATAACAATTGTATCGCATGATTTTGCTGATAAAAGTACTTAAAGATGACGCTTAACTCTGACGTACGTATAGATATGTCATTCACTTTTTTCTCAATAAATCGTATCCATTGTTCGAAATTTGCATGGAAACTGCAAATTATGACACTTTAAACCACTAATTATTAGCTATTATTGACTGCTTTAAATTCTACTTAAGTACATGTAATAGTATAGTTTTAGCTAAAACAATTTGACATTCACAGAAGATATCTTAACATAATTTTGCCTGAACATAAAAAATGCACTAAATTTGATGCAACTCAAGAGTGCTTTTCAGAATGCGTCACATTATTAAATTATAATAAATAATAATTAAAACTTAACTTAAAATATAAGTATCGACAATAAAATGTACAGCGGTGCCGGTCGTGTAAAATAAAGCAAAAGTATAAAATCAAACAAACTTAAAACATTTGGGTATGTCAAACGCTGGTCATAAATAATAGCTCTAAATTACTTTGCGAAACATTAAAGACGTCATAAATTTGATAGCAAAAAATTCTAGAATTTCTTGGTGAAATGTCATCAATATCACTAAAAATTTATAGCGAGAGTTGTTAAAAATTACGATTTCCAATTAAAAGTCAGTTAAAGAAATCGTAAATTGTACAGAAATCAGTCCTTTTGGGTCATACTGTACGGAACGCAACAAGAAGTCGCTAAACTCGATAAAGGTTAATATGTTTAATGACGAAGAAAACACGATAAGTTAAAGACCCATAAAAGGATTTTTTTAGTCCATTGAGTTTTATATTAATCAGGAGTGGTTTTTGTTTGAAAAGGAGCAAATGTTGCTATACTTGGAGCACCTGCAACAGTGTTATTATTTTTATCATATAAATCAATAAAATAATACTTAAGTGACTCGCTCTTTGACTTTATCTTGACAGAATAGATAAGTTTATGAGTGTGATAATACCGATAATCCAATTTTAAGATAGGTATCAGAGGACTGCATTACGATTAAGTATTATTAATATCTGCAGTTGCTACTTTGCGGCAAAAAAAACACTAATTTATGGAGATGGAGGACAATTTTCAGAAAATTCATCATAAAATGCAGTGTAAAACACTGTTGAAAAGTTACCTAAATATTGTTTTTATCGTGACCATATTTTTTTTAAACAAAAAAAGTTAAATACATTATGTTACAAATAATGAATAGAAGAACTAAACAAAATAGATCATTGATTTTTTAGAAAAGTGTTTGGTGTTCTTTCACAAAGTTGGGCAAAAATTTCAAATTCTAAACAGCTAATTATAATTACAAATTATTAAAAAAATAAATTTATAATGTTTAATGCTATCCTTAACAGAATTAGATTAGAGAATTAAAAAATCGTGAACAAGTTTCTGTATTATGATGACCCATAACGTTAAAGTACAATTATGATACTAATATAATACAGCCCACCTTAAAGCAACCAAAAAATCAAACTTTAAAACACCCACTGCAAAGATCAAAAATACTACATACCTACTTTTTTTCTTTAGAATAAATCCATGAGTTATCTTTTGCAGACAATATTTTAAATAACTGTGACAGGTATAGATATGTTTAATACCTGCGTCTACGATCATAAAGCTGCATGTTGATATATATTTCCGCTTACGCATTAATCTGATGAAACCTATAAAAAATACTGAATTCTAACACGTCAGATATCTGCTTTCAAAGGATTAAAATTCACACGACTCATTTTTAAGAATTTATTGGCGATAAATATTTCGAGATTCATAGTGAAGGGGAACATGTTGAACAAGATAATTAATAAATTTTATTTTACAGTAGTAGATTTTGAAGTAGTTTATGCAGCTATTTTACGAAACAAAAATTTAACATTATAAATAAGTGAGGTAATCCATCTACATTCAACTGGGATTAATCTTTTTCTTAGTTTTAGGTAAAAACTGCTACTATAAGTATAACCTCGTGAGATCATACCACTCGCGCTAGTGCACTCGTGATTCTAAATTCTTACTCGCTTATAATACCTAAAGCATTTTTCTAACTTATAATGTATAATACCGTTATAATATTTAATTTATACATTTCTAAACAGAAACTCCAATGTCTCATAGTTTTCTAACGATGAGTGCAATAAATTAATTTATTTATTGCTTTACGAGATTAATTTCCTAAAAGCGCTAAACATACCTATATGATTTAAACTTAACTTTAAATTACCTGAAAGCTCTACTCGTAATCCTTTGAAGAAGTTATTCATTCAAATCGTCCAATTATTGATAATAATAAATGGTTTATTGTACTCTCTAAAAAATATATGCAGCATTGACACGAAAGCAACCAGAAAAAATGAAGTTACAGGGATCAAAGGTTCCAGAAACACTTATTAATAATAAAAAACGTATGATTAAATTAATGTTGAAAACAAAAACATTCTCATAAAGTAATAGCAATGAATTAAAATGTGTTTTCAAAATACGCTTACAGTGATGTCATTGGATGTTTGAAGGTATAGCCGTATACAAAGTTTTAGATGAAGAAATTGTATCTATAAGGTCATTATTAATAACTTAATAAGTTTAAAACTTTGTCCTGTAATTTTGTTCTTTTTAAAACGACAGAACAACAAAGGCAGATTTGTCACAATTTCGTTTGATTCTTTATTCAAGCAAGTTTTTTTAATGTTTAATAATGACATTTTTATTTTAGTGTCTTTTGCACAAGTATGCATCTAGATAAGAATTCAAGAGAACTACTAACTACGGAAACGGAAAGAATCTACGACTATGATACAAAAGTTCCAAAGATATTAGAGCACTAAATATGATATCACCTTTTTTAACCATTCAACGTCTACTGTTAAAATGCAAACAATCAGAAATTAGATGCTTAACTTTGGTATGCGCTTTATTTAGAATCGTTTTAATCTATTCCAAAATTAGTTTCATGGGCGTAAAGATGGCTCTCCAACTTTAATCCAGAGTAACATTTTGTTCCACAAATTATTGAATTCTGGATAAGTCCAGCGGAATTTCCTTCCCAATGGGAAACTAAAGCTGACAACATGCCTCGGCTAAGAGAATGTTTAGATACTTAAAGTGGATCATACTAGTATATCATTACTTACTAATTTTTACAGTGCGATCTGAATATTGTATAACGATTATTAGTAACAAAAATAATAAACTTGAATAATTTTTAACACGTTAAATATATTAAATAAAATACATATACCGCATATTTAGTGCGATTACATAAATAATTTTTCAAAAAATACCAAAATACATTTTACTCTTATTCTTTCTCAGTTATTGAATTGTACATTTCGCGATTTCAGGGTCCATGCAACCGTACATAAGTGGACTGTAATGCATACCGTCGGGACACTGAGATACAACAAACATTCCATTTTCGCATTCTACGTATTTCGCGCAGTCAGAAGGATGTGCTGCTAAGAACCAATCGTTTGGTCTGTTGGTGCAAATTGCTGCTATTATCACATCGTCCGACGGTCTCACGGTCGTAGCAATCGGCACAGGAGTAGTAGTTGTTACCAAAACTGTTGTTTCTTCTGTTGGAGTAGCACTTGGTTCATCTGTAGGTGCTTCGGTTTGTTCCTCTGAGGGTACATCGGTTGGTTCCTCTATGGGTACATCGGTTATTTCCTCCGAAGGGTCACTAACTGGTTCATCTGTTTGGTCTTCAGAAGGTGGCTGAGTTGTTACGGCTGTTGGTACTTTAGTTGAGCTAGATGGGCGAGATGGTTTTGTAGGTGACGGTCTTTGTGATGATTTTGTTGGTTTGCTTGGTTTACTTGGACGACTAGGTTTACCTGGGCGAGTTGGTCTACTTGGGCGACTGGGTCGACTCGGACGAGTTGGTTTATTGGAAGCTGTAGGATTTGGATCATCAGTCGATGGCTCCTCAGTTTCAGGTTCTTGGGTTGGAGCTTCAGTTTGTTCCTCTGTCACCTCTTCAGTCGGTGCATCCGTCGGAGCATCCGTTGGTTCATCAGTTACAACTGGATCAGTGGGACCCGGCGGTGTTTGTGTTGGTTTGCTTGGTCTACTTGGACGACTAGGTTTACCTGGGCGAGTTGGTCTACTTGGACGACTAGGTTTACCTGGGCGAGTTGGTCTACTTGGACGACTGGGTCGACTCGGACGAGTTGGTTTATTGGAAGCTGTAGGCTTTGATTCTTCAGTCGCTGGCTCCTCAGTCTCAGGTTCTTCGGTTGGTTCGTCAGTAGGTTCTTCGGTTGGCTTTTCGGTGGGTTCTTCGGTTGGAGCGTCAGTTTGTTCTTCCGTTACTTCTTCAGTTGGCACATCCGTGGGAGCGTTAGTTGGTGGTCGAGTAGGTTTGCTTGGTCTGCTAGGGCGACTAGGTTTACCAGGGCGAGTAGGTCTGCTTGGTCGACTTGGCTTAGTGGGTCGACTAGGACGTGTTGGTTTAGTAGGGCCTTGAGTTTCTTCAGTTTCTGGTACGTCAGTAGCGGGTTCTTCAGTAGCTGGCTCTTCGGTATCGGGTGCATCGGTTTCCGGTTCTTCAGTCTCTGGTGCCTCAGTGACAGGTTCTTCAGTCTCTGGTTCCTCAGTTTCTGGACCATCAGTAACAGGTTCCTCAGTTTCAACTGGATCTGTGGGAATTGATGGTCCTTGTGTTGGACGAGTAGGTCGACTTGGCCAACTTGGTCTGCTTGGTTTACTTGGTCTAGTTGGACGACTGGGTTTACTTGGACGAGTTGGCTTACTTGGTTTGCTTGGGCGGCTTGGTCGACTGGGTCTAGTAGGCCAGCTAGGACGCGTCGGAGTATCAGAAACAGTAGGTTCTTGCGTTTGTTCGGTTGGATCTGACACATCAGTAACTGGTTCTTCGGTATCTGGTTCTTCCGTAACAGGTTCGTTAGTATCTGGTGCATCGGTGTCTGGTTCTTCAGTCACGGGTGCTTCAGTGTCAGGTTCTTCAGTATCTGGTGTCTCAGTGTCAGGCTCTTCAGTATCAGGTGCTTCGGTTTCGGTTTCTTCTGTAGAAGGCTCCTCGGTAGCTGGTGCATCGGTAACAGGTTCATCAGTTAGAACTGGATCTGTGGGAATTGATGGTCCTTGTGTTGGACGGGTAGGACGACTTGGCCAACTTGGTCTGCTTGGTTTACTTGGTCTAGTTGGACGACTGGGTTTACTTGGACGGGTTGGCTTACTTGGTCTGCTTGGGCGACTTGGTCGACTGGGTCTAGTAGGCCAGCTAGGACGCGTCGGAGTATCAGAAACAGTAGGTTCTTGAGTTTGTTCGGTAACAGGTTCGTTAGTGTCCGGTGCATCGGTGTCTGGTTCTTCAGTCACGGGTTCCTCTGTAACAGGTTCCTCTGTATCGGGTGCTTCAGTGTCAGGTTCTTCAGTATCTGGTGCTTCAGTTTCGGGCTCTTCTGTAGAAGGCTCTTCAGTATCTGGTGCATCAGTAATAGGTTCATCAGTTACAGGTTCATCAGTTACAACTGGATCTGTGGGAATTGATGGTCCTTGTGTTGGACGAGTAGGACGACTTGGCCAACTTGGTCTGCTTGGTTTACTTGGTCTAGTTGGACGACTGGGTTTACTTGGACGGCTTGGCTTACTTGGTCTGCTTGGGCGACTTGGTCGACTGGGTCTAGTAGGCCAGCTAGGACGCGTTGGAGTATCAGAAACAGTAGGTTCTTGAGTTTGTTCGGTTGGATCTGACACATCAGTAATTGGTTCTTCGGTACTTGGTTCTTCCGTAACAGGTTCGTTAGTGTCCGGTGCATCGGTGTCTGGTTCTTCAGTCACGGGTTCCTCTGTAACAGGCTCCTCTGTATCGGGTGCTTCAGTGTCAGGTTCTTCAGTATCTGGTGCCTCAGTGTCAGGTTCTTCAGTATCTGGTGCCTCAGTGTCAGGTTCTTCAGTATCTGGTGCTTCAGTTTCGGGCTCTTCTGTAGAAGGCCCTTCAGTATCTGGTGCATCAGTAACAGGTTCATCAGTTACGGGTTCATCAGTTACAACTGGATCTGTGGGAACTGATGGTCCTTGTGTTGGACGAGTAGGACGACTTGGCCAACTTGGTCTGCTTGGTTTACTTGGTCTAGTTGGACGACTGGGTTTACTTGGACGGCTTGGCTTACTTGGTCTGCTTGGACGACTTGGTCGACTGGGTCTAGTAGGCCAGGTAGGACGCGTCGGTGTATCAGAAACAGTAGGTTCTTGAGTTTGTTCGGTTGGATCTGACACATCAGTAACTGGTTCTTCGGTATCTGGTTCTTCCGTAACAGGTTCGTTAGTGTCTGGTGCATCGGTGTCTGGTTCTTCAGTTACAGGTTCCTCTGTAACAGGCTCCTCGGTGTCGGGTGCTTCAGTGTCAGGTTCTTCAGTATCCGGTGCTTCGGTGGCGGGTTCTTCTGTCACGGGTTCTTCAGTGTCTGGCGCTTCGGTGTCAGGTTCTTCAGTATCCGGTGCTTCAGTATCTGGCGCTTCAGTATCAGGTTCTTCAGTATCTGGTGCATCAGTGTCGGGTTCTTCAGTGTCTGGCGCTTCGGTATCAGGTTCTTCAGTATCTGGTACTTCAGTTTCAGGTTCTTCAGTGTCTGGTGCTTCAGTATCCGGTGCCTCAGTGGCAGGGTCATCTGTAACGGGCTTCTCAGTATCGGGTGCTTCCGTATCAGGTTCTTCAGTGTCCGGTATTTCGGTGGCAGGTTCTTCAGTGTCAGGCTCTTCAGTAGCAGGCTTTTCAGTATCCGGTGCTTCAGTTGCTGGCTTCTCAGTGCTCGGTTTATTACCACCTTCACAACCAGCATTCTGCGGCCAATCACACACTTCTAATTGAACATTCCAGTGCAGGCCAGCAGGACAATCAAACAAATAGGGAACACCATTCGAACATTCATAAAATTTGCCACAATCTTCATGCGGTAAATAAACCGGATAAGGACCATCGACTGCCGGGCAAGAATTAGGAGGTTCAGGAGCAGATGTCGGTTTCTTGTCTTCACAACCAGCAGCATATGGATAATCACATACTTCTAACACAGGATTAAAATGCAGACCATCTCTACATGTAAACAAGTACGCTACACCATTGGAACACTCGTAAAACTTGGTACAATCCTCGTGTGGCAAGTATACAGGGTAGGGGCCATCAACATTTGGACATAAATCCGACGGAGCTGTAAAAAATTCCGCTACTTTTTGTTTATTTTAAAAATTAAATTAACTTACAGCTAGTTAAGCTCCCGGCCATACACAATAAAAAAAGTATCGTTGGTTTTAGCATCTTTTGGTTTTGTGTCAAATACGAATTGTAAATCTACACATCACAGAAGATGGCACCAAAATGACTAAATTGTTTTTGAGTCAGTCAGTAATGTTCTTTTATAATAATGGACGTTTTAAATAAAAACTCCTATCAAATTACTCATTTATTGCTATGTGGATTAACTTAATCTACGGTTTCGACAGATTTATGACACCAGACATAAATATGTCCAAGAAATATAATTCAGGTTATTTACATATAAGCCATTTTTTTTGTATCTAACAGAAGTAGTTAGGATTTTCTGGAAATGATAATCTGTTATTGCAAGACATTGCAAAACTTGGTGATAACGGAAAATTTGGCGGAAACATTGTTTGTTTGAGTGAGTGAATTAAACTAAGATTATTTGACGTCTTTTATTATCTTTTTTTCCATAAATATTTTTCCGAAAATTACATTCTCAGTTTTTAGTGAAAATATATAGATCTGATTATTAGTAGTAGTTTAGAAAATTTTATTACCACTACAATGATTATAATCTACGTTATGGAAACATAATAAAGCTAGGTAAGTTTTTAAACGGAAACGACTTAAATTTTACGACTTCTTTATTATTCAGATTATAGTTACTAAATAAAAGTAATATGTATAAGTTGGTTGCTTCTTTGATAATGACATGTGAACAATAATTTTATAAAGAATGTATCATGTTAAAATGGTGCAGTAAAATATTGTATTTTTTTATTTACGATGTGACTAAAGGCAACCTACGTAACGAGATTAGATAAATAATAATTTGTTAATTTCTTGTTCTTATTTAAGATTAAAACAGATCACGTGTGTATTTTTATAGCTATTAAATCAACAAATGTAGCCATAAATTTAACGGAAACGAAAATTAGTAATAATATCTACTCATAACTTCAAAATTTTCTAATCGAAAAGTTTCCAAATAGTTTCACTAAATTCGTGTAGATTAATTAAATTCATCCACATCTAGAAATAAAAATGGGGATGGATTCTTCAACACCCTAGGCTAGAAGGGAACTGGATTATGTATGTATATTTTTTTACGTTAATTAAAAGGATAATTCAGTTAAGAAAAATCGTATTTTTATGCATATGTCAAATTTTATTTTCTTTTCTTAATTTATAAGTACTGGGTTATTCATGGTGATAAATGTTTCAGTTTAAAAATAAGTAAAACATGTTTATTATAATACTAAAACTATTAACAAAGAATAAAATAATTAATTTACAGTGCGCCTAGAATTACAGATTAGAGGACTATCTAATTTTCGGATGAGTTGGATTCTGATGAGCTTGAAGAGTTGGATTCTGATGAGCTTGAAGAGTTGGATTCGTTCGATTCCTCGCTTGATCTACCATGTGGCGGTCTCGAGGGTTTCGGTGTACGCGATGGCCTCGGTCTCGTTGGTTTCGATGGTCTGCCAGAACTCGCCGGTTGTTCCGATGGTTGCTGAGTTGGCTCCTCAGTTGGAGCATCAGTTTGTTCTTCCGTTACTTCTTCAGTTGGTGCATCTGTGGGAGCATTAGTTGGTGGTCGAGTGGGTTTACTTGGTTTGCCTGGACGTGTTGGACGAGTAGGTCTACCAGTTGGTCGACTGGGGCGAGTTGGTTTATCAGTCGCTGGTTCTTCAGTTTCAGGTTCTTCGGTGGGTTCTTCGGTTGGCTCTTCAGTTGGTTCTTCGGTTGGAGCATCCGTAGGAGCATCGGTTGGAGCGTTAGTGGGTTTACTTGGTTTGCCTGGACGTGTTGGACGTGTAGGTCTACCAGTTGGTCGACTGGGGCGAGTTGGTTTATTAGTCGCTGGTTCTTCAGTCTCAGGTTCCTCACTTGGTTCTTCTGTGGGCTCTTCGGTAGGTTCTTCGGTTGGCTCTTCGGTAGGTTCTTCGGTTGGCTCCTCAGTTGGTTCTTCTGTTGGAGTGTCCGTGGGAGCATCTGTTGGAGCATTAGTTGGTGGTCGAGTGGGTTTGCTTGGTCTGCTTGGACGTGTTGGACGACTAGGTCTACTTGGACGTGTTGGACGACTAGGTCTACTTGGACGACTAGGTTTACCAGTAGGTCGACTGGGACGAGTTGGTTTGTCCGTCGCTGGCTCCTCAGTCTCAGGTTCTTCCGTTGGTTCTTCTGTGGGCTCTTCCGTGGGCTCTTCGGTGGGTTCTTCGGTGGGTTCTTCCGTGGGTTCTTCCGTGGGCTCTTCAGTGGGTTCTTCCGTGGGCTCTTCAGTGGGTTCTTCGGTGGGTTCTTCGGTGGGTTCTTCCGTGGGCTCTTCGGTAGGTTCTTCGGTGGGTTCTTCCGTGGGCTCTTCGGTAGGTTCTTCGGTGGGTTCTTCAGTAACAGGGTCATCAGTTACAGCTGGGTCTGTAGGTCCTTGGGTTGGACGAGTAGGACGACTTGGCCAACTTGGTCTGCTTGGTTTACTTGGTCTAGTTGGACGACTGGGTTTACTTGGACGGCTTGGCTTACTTGGTCTGCTTGGACGACTTGGTCGACTGGGTCTAGTAGGCCAGCTAGGACGCGTCGGTGTATCAGAAACAGTAGGTTCTTGAGTTTGTTCGGTTGGATCTGACACATCAGTAACTGGTTCTTCGGTATCTGGTTCTTCCGTAACAGGTTCGTTAGTGTCTGGTGCATCGGTGTCTGGTTCTTCAGTTACAGGTTCCTCTGTAACAGGCTCCTCAGTATCATCATCAGTCCCTGGCCCATCAGTTGCAGGATCTTCAGTCACGGGGTCCTCAGTATCATCCTCAGTTCCTGGTCCATCAGTTGCAGGATCTTCAGTTACAGGATCTTCGGTATCATCATCAGTTCCTGGTCCATCAGTTACAGGATCTTCAGTTACAGGGCCTTCAGTATCATCATCAGTTCCTGGCCCATCAGTTACAGGATCTTCAGTTACAGGGCCTTCAGTATCATCATCAGTTCCTGGCCCATCAGTGGCAGGATCTTCGGTTACAGGATCCTCAGTATCATCATCAGTTCCTGGTCCGTCAGTTACAGGGTCTTCGGTCACAGGGTCTTCAGTTTCGGGCGCATTGGTTCCTGGGTCCTCAGTTGGTGGATTACCATTGTCATTGCAAATATAATCCACGGGATGGACGCATACGTTGATATTAGGATTGAAAACTGTACCAGGGGCACAATCAAACTCGTAGGCTACACCGTTTGAGCACTGCCAAAATTTACGACAATTTTCATGGGGCAAATACACGGAATCTGGACCATCAACCGGTGGGCATAGATGTGACGGCGCTAAAATTTTATCAGGATTTATTTGTAGATCTCGGAATGTTAAAAGTTAGAACTTACGGTTAGCAAGTGCAACTGCACTTAATCCAAAAAGGAAGACTAGAGTTTTCATCTTCTAAATTTTGTCACTTACATGTGGTAGGTCTACTCAATTCAAAAGAAAATCTAGAGGTGACTACTAGGATATAGTATAACTATCCTTTTATATGTGTTGGTAATCTCTGTATTTTAAGTGGTATTTTGGATAGAATTTACGGCCGATTAGTGTAATCTGCAATGACATTTAGATTGATTTATTGCGTTTTAATTGTGGACAGTGAGTATTAGAAACAGACGAGTGTAGTTCTAGAATTTGCGTTTTATCCAAATCAGTACCAGGAAGATCTTTGTAGAAATACCGATGTCAGTGATAATAATGTAGAATTTTACAATCTAAAGGTTGTAAAACGTGTCATCTCACTGTAAAAATGTATATGATTAACACTAAGAGAGACTGCTTTTGTAAAATTAATTGTGTTTATGTCAGTCAACCGCACAGTTGGTGAATTATTATTATTATTATTATTATTAAACTAAAGTCTCCCTGATTTACAGCTGTATAAAAAAATTAAAAAATTACGGAGTTGTGTTATTGGAGGCTATAAATCAATAATCCTGCGTCTGGTTTAAGGCGTATTCTTTTTTTATCTTTCATTCATCGCATTTGTTTTTGTTGGAAACAACCAGGACGGATTTTTTGTGGCTTTAATGCCAGTTTGGAGCTCTTCGTAATGCGTGTCATTCTTACACATCACACCCACAGTTGGCAAAGTTCAGCACCGTGCTTTAATTTATTAACTCGCTGCAATTCTATTGGGAATATCTCATTACGAATAAAAAGCTCATTATAAGCTCGTAATAAACAAGGCGATAAATCTTCATTCCTTGTTTCCCGGAAAGTCCACAACGTGTTTAATTTAAGTGTCGTTGATCGTGCGACAACAACTTTCCGCACGCTGTAAGGGCATTTTCTAAACAGAAACATTTTGTATGCTGCGATTATTTCCACAAAAGTTTATTTTTTCCAAACATGAACCATTTACATCCATTAACAACTTACATAAAAATAAATGTGAAAACGTGACTTGTCTGTTTATTTATTAAAGCGTAGTACAGTAAATTTTAAAGAAAAAAATAACCTGTAATCGAACAAATATTCTAACTACAAAATCATACACCGTTGTTATGTAAATGTAATACTGTGTTTATTGTGTTGTTGAGTAGGAAGTTAATTTTCAGGATACAACAAATCTTGGATTTGCTGTAAGTCGTAGTCGTACACGTAGGGACGAAGTTTGCCGATGAGTGCTGGTGGTGCCCGTTTTCCATACCTGCAAAACACCTCGTCTGATCATTTTGTCAAAAATACTTATATTAAGAACGTTTTTTCACGTCCATGGTAATAAAATTTTATGTGGGTGTAAGACACAAATTCTGTACCTTGTTTTTGATGCTTCGTTTGCGATGCATTTCAAGTAATCGCCGACGTGTTTGGAAGTTTCGAAACTGTACAATGGTCGATTGCATAAGCTGCTGGCTGGGCTTCCTGAAATGAGGTGTACTGCCAGAAGGACGGTCAAGAGGATTGCCAATTTACAAGTGGACATGGTTTTAACCTGAAAATAAACGGTTTTTTAGGTAATTATATTTTATAAATTAATAAATCTGGACGAATTATAGTCAAACAACTTTTATTTACGTACGTATTTATGTAAAATTTAATGCATTGGGAATATCATTAAATTATTGTTTAGCAATTTTTTTCGCTGCTGTGTTGTTTAATCTGATACTCGGCAAATTAATATTTTGTTATAAATGATGTGAACAGATAAACAAATACTTTTGATCGTTTATAGAACGTTATTTTGTGTAAATAGTACGAAATATGTGTGTTTATTTTAAATGCTTATTTTATCTAAATAATATGTTGAATGATCGGATTTAGTATTAGAGTAATAACATCTTATAGTATAATTTTTTTTTGTAAAAGCAACATTAATTCCATCATCTTCTAAAAAATACGTAATATTTGTGGTAAAGAAACTTAAATAAATAGGAATTTATAACATCTAAATCCTCAGTTAATAAAAAACGTTCTGTAACAGCCATTCCATTCATTCATCCATCCATCAATCCATGAATATCTTAAGGTGTGGGGCGTGTTGATTTCTTTGCTTCATTTGCTACATTAGGAAGCATTTTGGGTAGTCCTAAGAGTTTTAATTTATTTTTGTTAGCAATAAGTAATCTATCTTTTCGTGCCTCCAAAAGTCTGATGGCCAAATTCGCTTTGAATTATTAAAAAAATTCTGAGTTTTATGTTACTTTTTGATATTTTTAATAAATGGAAGCCAAAATAAAATATCACAACAGTTTCGGTATTTCAAATTCAGTATACATATATCAAAAGAGAGAATTGTACTGACTTTGAAAATTGTAAACACAAAATTTTCAAAGTCAGTACAATTAAAATCTACTGGAGCTTCTATCTTTTGATATATTCTGAAAATTTAAAGTATTACATATCTAATAAATATCGCATAATTCTATAAAGAGAGTTTTCATAGAGAACTGTAGACATTTTTAAATGTCAATAAAATTTTGACGAAATCGAAAAATGTACAGTTTTTAAATATGTTAAAATTTTACAAATCATCAAATTTTAGGAATACTTAGTCTTTATTCAGTTTTATTTCTTTAGATTACAGTTATAAATTTACAAAGGTAGAACATATTTTTCAGCAAGAATGAGAAGCGACTCGTTTCCCACGAGTGAGCAGTAAGTATTACTACACAAAAAAAAATAAATAAATAAATGAAACCATTTCCGAAATTATAGAAAGAAGAAAACAAAAAAAAAACGGAAAGCCAACAAAGAAAAGACGAAGTGGTTTTGACAGTAAATTGTTTTGGCGATGTGAGCAATCTGTACTGTTGAACTCGGACACCGCTTCGTCAAAAATTATTCTTCGCACTGTTAAATTACTGCTTAGCTACAAATTTAGTTAAAATATCTACAGCGGTAAATATAAAAGCAATTTTATCTTTAATTTAGATTTATAAACAACATTTTTGTTATCAGACAACTCTTGTTGCTAAAATAAGAGTCATCCTTGTCAGAACCGCTTTTTGATAAATAAATTTCGAAAGCGGAAGGAGGAAATTTTCTATTTATTGCACAAGTGGACTCTGCATGGGCGAAGGATTAGCGTTTATCCCTCCTTAAGTACACTATAATTTATATTTTTGTTTTATCTGTCTGCCTGTATTTACCTACTACAAATTGTCGAGACGTATTTCCGGTCGGTAAATAATAAAATAACCATTTCAGCCACTCCACATTCGGACCAATGAAAATTATTTACCCAACCAGAAGCACCAATTCATTTCTGCCACCTTCGGATCTGTTCCCACTAGCAAATTAAGTAAAACCTAAACGAATGAAAGAAGTGCTTTGTTACAATTACGTTGACAATTTACCCTACTTGAATAACGGGGGTTAAATGGCAATAAATTATTTGGTATTTAGAAGTTGAGCTTTAATTTTGATTTATAAATGGGGGTGTAATTGGAGAGAAAGCTCCTTTCATTTGCCGCCACCTCCAAGGAAACCGTAATTTCTTTTAATCTATAAAGAGCCCGAGTTCACTTTTCTCGCCCAATCAATTAGAATTACCCACGAAGACAATTAGAAAAAACAAATCGAACGGGGGGAGGGTGCAATATCCGAAAGTTATAATAACACCATAAATTATCATTGCGCCATATGTTTCCGTTGGATCTGGTAGATTAACAATCAATTAGAATGGATTAGCGTAGATAAAATTTCACGACACACGTGAGGCAAGTTTTCCAAAAAAAGGTAACAATCATCGATCATAAACTGTGACAGTACTTAGCGTGACACAATTGTCGACTAGGGGACAGCGGGAGCAGATGCACTTATGTTAAAAACATTTGCATGGTGTTGATACACAACTAAAACATTACTTGTAATTAGATTATTAATACTAATAGCATGAATTAATTAATTCTGGTTTCTAATATACCTGATACCCAAGGTGGTAAAATTTTCGCTTTTCAGAAGTGTTCAAGTAAATATTTAGAATTTTGTTTAAAGAGAATGAGTGTTACAACATCCACCTAAGTCCATTCCGCCTCGCTCTCCCCTACCCGCCGGCGAAAATATGGGAAGTACTCAGCTTTGTTTGATCTGCACTTAGCTGTGAGCGGTTTTTAATTAACATTTTTACATTTACACCACTTGATTAGGATAATCAGCAGCAAAAGCTTCTTACTCATTAACAATTTTCTTTTAATGAAGAATAACAAAGCCTACTTCAACCGAAATGCAAATGTTCCTAATGCATCCTTTGTTAAAATTATAAATATCAAAGCACAACTTTTCAACTTCGTTATATTTCATCTTGAATTAATCATTAGCCTGCAAATGGGCTCATTTTTAAATAAGCCCTCTACGTGATTTGTTTTACATTTCAGACAAAAATGTCGCCGAAACCCCCTAATGAACTACTATTGTCTTTGATATTTTTCTGAATAAGGTTCTTCTAATTGGGAACCGTGTGGGCGGTTTGCTGCGTTTGTTGAAAATATTTATCTATTTATTAATTTGTATAGTGGCGAGTAAATATTTAAATATTATTCGAAAAAGTGCATCCCACACATACAAATTCAACAGATTTTATTGTTAAACAAATAATATACCGTCGGATACGACACGTTTTTGTAGTTGAATTCATTGAACCTCAACTAAAAGTGATAAAATGAAGTAAAATAAATAAAAACTCGATTGGGCGCTGGTTGTGTTTGTGGCGTGCCGCAACGACAACTTTATAATTAAAAACGACGAGGTTTATTGGGTGCTTGTGTAGCAGCTAAAAAATCTGTTTTCAATATTGTGGCTATTGCAGAGTGATTAAATGTGATTAAATTAATTAGATTTGTTAATGGATTTATTTAACAACCGACGTCAAAAAGAATATTTTTTTCTGCGACTGATTTGCATTTTTATAATTATTAAATTTCTCTGTATTCTCCACTTCAAAACATAGGTGACGTCATCTGAAAATATCGTTAATTTCCTAGACACGAGTACGTTAGCTGAACTGTATTTTAATTCATTCCATTTAAAAATTGATAACGTTATTGTCAAACATTATTAAAGGAATCTTTATTTGCAAGTATACGGCAGAACTTCCGTGTAATAACAGTACAGATTTTTCGATGATGTAATTCCCAAATTAAGACGCTTATCACGACAAATTTGACAAATTTAAAGTTGTCATAAAAATGAAATGACGCAAATAGTTGTAATTGTTTATAGATAAATGAATCTGCTAAAATGGGTACTGTTGCTTTCAAACAAACTATTTTTTTAAACTAATCATATTTGACATTTATTTTGATGAATCGGTTGATTGATTATACCTTTAGTTTTAATTCCCCCACATATGAAAAGAATTGGCGTTTTTGTCCCGTAATCCCTAAATTAACGGTGTTTGGATTTTTATTAATTTGTTGTTTTATATGTATTTAACAACAAGGAAAGTTTGGCGGATGAAAGTATTGACTCCAAACAATATTTAATGCATAAATTAGACACAACAGCATAAATACTTACAACAACAATGTGATAAAAGAACTAAGTATATATGAAATTTGAAAAAGATGTGTCAGTAAAAAAATTGGAACGAAAAAGCAGAAGTTAAATTGCATAAACAATATAACCTAAAAATATGAATTCCAAAATCTTGGAACTCGATGAGCACAATACACCTTTTTTTTATTAATGGTATGCTACCTTTATAAATATTTAAAAAAATGTTCAGTTTCATTTAACAAAGTCTGGCCTACTATGAAAGATATCGACTTAAATCAACAATGGCGTTTAAAGTATTATGCGGATTTTCTATTATTCTCTTAAAAATTAAAAGTACATGATGTTTTTTCTAAAAATGCAATTGAATTGTGACTGTAATACATAAACGGAGAAAAAAGTCAGAACAATTGTATCTTAGTTCGAGAAGATTCTCAAGTAAATCTATCTGAAATTTATAAAATAAAAGCTTTCCGGTGAGATAATATATAATAAGAAGAAAGATTCTAGTTGAGTATAGAATAACAAAATTTCCCTGTTCATAAATTATGAAACCCTTAATACGTTAGACGGCTGAATTCACTGTCAAGAATGAGCTGAAACCGCAAAAGTTTAATCAAACTCTAGAATAAGGTATCATTATTGAAATATCTGGATTTTAATGCGAGATATTAGTTTTAGAAGAGAATCGAGTGATCAAAATCTTTAAAAGGTTCCAGGAACTTTACTCTAGGGAATTTCAATATTGTAACGTATTCCTTATTAAGAAAGGGTGAATACAAAGGGGTTTGTGAAAATTGTGAAAAACTCAGAAAACTGAGAAAATCGAATCGAAACTGGAGTCACTTGAAAAAGCGCAGAAGTAAAATTTGGAAGATTCTACCTGTTTGTGAAGAATTTTATTTTGACCATAAATAAGACAACAGAGACAAGAAAATATTTGACAAGTTCTAAAAGATTCTACCAGGAATGAAAAAAAAAGGTGAACACTGGATAAAT